GAGGAGGAGGAGGAGGAGGAGGAGGAGGAGGAGGGAGGGGAGGGGCTCCTTGGCTCCAGAACTTCATTCTTCCCCCATTGTGGCCACAAACCCAATAGGCTGAACCAAATTTCCCCAAACTTCCCCATAAAGTCCACACTGAACCCGACCCCTGAATTGGATTTGGTTCACAACCATTTTCATTCTGTGACCAGAATTGCAAAATGAATTAAATTGGTGAACTGAGGTTCCACTGCAATATGCAACGAGTTCCCTCCTGAAGTGTCTTCATAATCCATAAATAATTACTATAATGATAAGATTTGGAAATTCCAATTTAGAAGCACAAAGGCACTACTTTTCATCCGTATTTGGGAAAAGCACACTTTTCTTTCATTGCGCCACTCAAATTTATTTTATTTTTATTTATTTATTTATTTTTAATTTATTTGGCAGAGCCAGGGATCGAACTCAGGCCCTTGAGCTTGCCAGGCAAGCACTTATTCCACTGAGCCATTTCCCCGGGCCCCTAACACCACTGAAATCTAATCTCTGCCATGCCCTGGAAATGGCCGCACCCTCATCACTGCCTGATCCACCCCACACACTCGCCGGTATGTGCTGGGTGCATGTGGTCCCCACACCGAGGAAGGTAAGGCCCGGCTGCAAGCCAACCAGCCCATGGAACCTCACACTCAGCAATACTCTGTCTCAAAATGTTTTAAAAGCCAGGCATGGTGGCACATGCCCAGGACCCCAGCACACAGGAGGCTGAGGCAGGAAGGTCACAGAGAGTGTGTGGCCAGCCTGAGCTATACAGCGAGCTCAAGGGCAGCCTGGACTACAGAGCAGGATCTTGTTCCAAAAAGAAGAATGAGTGTAGGACTGGGGAAAGGTCTGGGAGTCGACACCCAGCACTGCGAGGGAAAAAAGAAGTAAGCGGGAAAAAAAAAAAAAAAAAAAAAAGAAGTAAGCGATCAGGGTGGCAACCTGCTCAGCTCCTCCTACAACTCTAACCACTCTCTTTTTTTAATCTTTTCTTTTCTTTTTTTTTTTTTCAAATTGTATTTATTTACGTGCGTGTGTGTATGTGTGTGTGTGTGGCCAGCTCAGCCCACCAGGGGGCGGGGCTGGCTGGCATGTGGTGCTGGGGATCGAACCGCGGTCCCTGTGCTTTGCTAAACTTGTTCTAAGTAGGTACTTTAGACCACTGAGCCATCTCACCAGCCTTTTTAATCTTTTCTTGAGACAAGGATTTATACTATGGAATTCAGGCTGGCCTTGTTTTTTTATCCCAGGCTGGCCTCACACCTGTGGTGATCCTCCTGCCTCAGCCTCTTGAGTGCTGGGATTACGGGTGTGCATCATCACACCTGGCTTCCAACTACCTTTCCGGTTACCCAGGACATTTCAGGGGCTAAGCACAGAATTCAGCCCACTGCCAGCACTCAGGACAGCGGCCCGAAGCCCTGCTGATCCTGCCCCCTAGTGCAGTTGGTGAGAGAGAGGCCCAGGGCCCTGTTGGTACTCCAGGCCAGCCCATGTACCTGGTACTCTGGGCCCGACACCCAGCCATGCAGCTTCCTGGCCGGCGGCTGAGGCTCCGGCACTTTCCAGACGACATGGGACAGGCTTGAGGTGTCGTTCCAGTCCTTCCCTTCCTCTTGGGTTCGTTTGGCATCGGCACTGTCGGCAGAACTCATGGACAACTGCCGCTGCCTCCTCGGGTCCCAGCTGTTCCTAGGACAGAGGGTGCTCAGGGTCAAGCATGCCTGGGCAGCGCACCAGCCAGGGCCCAGGGGATGCCGCAGCAGCTGTCCCTGCACCAGCTGCCTTCGTCTCAGGCACCTCACACCTGCTCTTCACGTGTGGACACGCACGGTGTCGCTCATTAGCAAAGGTCCAGGCAACTATGCAACTGTCCTATGCCAGGGCCTGGTCCCTGCACCCCATTAGGGAACAACAGATGGCCTGGCAGGGTGTCCCAGGAAAGAGCCAAGGAGCTACACAGAGCAACAGAGCATGGTGTGTTGCCCCCAGCAGACCCCGGGAGCCAGGCAAGGGTGCTCAGAGGGGCAGGAGAGGAGGGCAGTGGCTCACGAGCAGCTGGTGTCCCCCACGTACACGTGACAGGCAGGGGAGCGGATGAGGCAGGGAGGTACACAGGGAAAAAAGCAACCACTTCCTGCGGCCACCAGCCCAACCCCACGGGAGACCTCAGATGCCTCAGGCCCTCCCGACAACATGTGCATTCCTAAGGAGCCCTGACGAAAGCAGCAGGCAGAAGGGGACGCAGCAAGGAGCACTGGTCCTGAGGGCCCTGGAGACCAAGGACAGAGGGCACAGACAGGGGTGGGAAGACACAGGGCGGCATCAAAGCCAGCTTAGACGCGGTCGTGTGAGTCCCCGGGGGGTGGAAATCATCAGGCAGCTCCAGGCATAGAGAAAAGAGCAGGCCTCAGGGGTGGGCCACTTGGGCATAAGTGTGCCCAGTCACAGCCAGTGACAAAGTGGAGTCCAAAGCCCGAGTCCTTCAGCTGAGCATGCAATGCCCACGCACTGAAGGCAACAGGAACGAGGTGTCCTGCTGTCCCCACAGGTCTGTGCCATTTCATATTTTGTTTGACCAAGACAAAAGTCTTGGTCACATCTTTGGAGCTCAGTGTCCCAAGAAGGACCCACAGAGCTGCCCCCAGTGCAGCCAGGCCCTGACTGGCAGCAAACCACAGCAGCTGAGTCACAGAAACGAAGTGGGTGGCACCGGCTCCCACCCAGGAGGGCGAGGCGCCTGCTTCCAGGCTTCAAAGCAAGGAAAGACATGTACTTGGCTGCATCAACACGCGATTATGGACATACAGAGAGCCTGAGAGACCGCTGGGCACATGGCAAAGCCCCACAGGTGAACACAAAGCAGTCCCTGCTCTCACCAGCAGTGCGGTGGTGCGTCCATGCAGGTGTGAGACAAGCAAGCACATTTTGGTAGCAAAGGTGCCAACTGCAGCCCCACAAGTATTTTAAAAGCAATATCCTAGACTACCACTATTAAGATAAAAAACAAAAAGAAATGGCCAGCCACGGTGATGCATGGCTGTGACCCCAGCATCCAGAGGCTGAGGCAGGAGGATGCCGTGAGTTCAAGCCTCCCCTGAACCATGTAGGGAGACCCTACTCAAAAGTCCAGAAACAACAAAAGACTAAAGCCATCAGAGTGCAAGGCAGTCTCTCCCAAAGAGCAATGAGTAAAATTAGTCCACTGTAAGGGTCCACTGCTGCCAAGAGGGAGAAGATTAAAGGGACTGAATAGGTGGAACCTGGCACGTCCTGCACCACGGCCCTCCCCATGTGTGTGAGGGCCCCTGTGCTCCCAAGGCTGAGGGGCCAGGGTGGTGGCCCAGGGCCTTGGCCCAGGGCACCGAGCACGCCACGTGAGAGGAGATGCCAAGCTATCATGCCCGGGACTGACACCACCCCCATCTGCACCAGACACGGCCCATGTGCCACTGCCAGGCAGTGACAGACAGCAGGAGACAGCACAGGCCAGTGGGCAGCATGGAGGGACCCCGATGTCCCCAGCAGCCACAGCTAGGCAACATGGGCCCTGCCAGGAGCCGGGACGGGCACCTTACCACTTGGGCCGGCCGTCCTTCACCACCTCCTCCTCCTCCTCATCGTCACTGAACTTGAGCTTCTCCGAATAGTCTACTTCTTCATGGAGGCCTGTGGCAGCGGGGCAACAAGGGCAAGGTGACCGTCAGCAACGGGGCGCTGTGGTGCCACCCCCAGGACCACAGAGCCACCACGCCACCTCAGGCACCCCACACAAGCTGGCAGGTGACCAGGAAGGGCAGCTCTGGCTCCTGGTAACAGTAACAAGCCCAGTCGCACTAACCCTCCTGTGGTGGACATTTTTACATCTTGACGAGGTATTTGTACTCTTTTATTTCAAGGCGCCAGAAGTAAGCAAAGGGGGCAGGAAGGAGACGGGGGCTCCGCTTGCACCACAGAAACTACAGGAGCCTGGAAGCTACCGCCCAGCACTCCTGAACAGACACGTCCATCCGTGATGAGTGGGCAAACAAAATATGACAAAACCCACATGGCGGAAGCCTATCTGGTCATGCAAAGGAAGCGTGCTGGCTGGCACACTATGCAGCGCGGTTAGCCCTGAATGCCTCGTGCCAAGTGGAAGACGCCGGCGCCATCAGGCCTCACGTGGTTCTGTCCACAGGGCGTGCTCCAAAATTCGAATCCACTGAGGTGGGGTGGGGGTGGGAACGACTGCTGATGGCTGCAGGGTTTCTCCTGGGTGTGGGAAAGCTCTGTAATTGCACAGCGGGGAGGGTGCAGCCGTACAAGGACTGGAGATGACCCAAGTGAGGGTTTTTACCAGGGGAGCTGTTATGTGCCTCGAAAAAGTTTTATGTGGGACTCTTATGTTAGAAAGTGCATCAAGACCAGCGTGGAGGTGCACACTGTGCTCCCAGCACTTGGGAGGCCGAGGCAGGAGGGCTGCTTTGAGTTCAAGGCCAGCCTGGGCTACATAGGGAGACCCTCTCCAAAAAAAAGAAACTAAAGGAAGGAGGAAGCAGGAAAGGCGGGAGAGAGGGAGGGAGGGAAGGGAGGGAGGGAGGGAGGGAGAGAAGGAAGAGAGAAAAGGAGGGAGAAAAGGAAGACAGGAAGGAAGGGTGAGAAAAAAAGGAAGGAAGCAAGCAAGCCTGCTAACCCCCTGAGGAAACAAGCAAATTCTGGTTCACAGCTTCACCTGGCACTAAAGACACTACAAGAAAATTACAACCCTGCCTGGGCTACATATATAGATGAGACCCTGGCTCAAAAAAAAAGCAGTCCCTTCTCACACCTCCATACTAGGGTTGAACTCAAGGACATCCTACTATTGACCCACACTGCCAGCCTTTTACGTTTATTTCATTTTTAAATTCTACTTATTACACGTCTACAGGATCAGACTCAAAGTGATCCTCCTGTCTTCAAGCCTCCCAAATGATGGGATTACAGGCATGCACCACCAGGCCCAGTCTCAGTCCAGTCTCTGTCGTCTCAGCGCACCTTGGGGCTGGGGCTGGCACAGCCCACAGGGGATCAAACCCTGGTCCCTGCACCTGCCTAACCATTTTTAAATTCTGAGACGATCTTTGCTGAGTTGCCCAGGACAGCCTTAAACTCGCTGGCTTCCTGCCTCAGCCTCCCAAGCAGTTGGCACAACAGGTGTGCACCACTACACCCAGGAGCTGTATCACTTCCTTTAAGCATAATTGAGGTCCAGCTGAAATGAACAAAAAGAATTATGGAAGAAAAGAATGAGCCTGGGGGTTGGGAGTGGCAGATAAGCAAGCAGGGTACAACACTGGCACTGCGAGGCTGTGAGGCATTGTGCGGGGCTGTTTTTAGGCTATTCTGCTTCCGCCTTCCATCGTCACCCAGGTGCGCCCTCCCCCCGGAAGGTGGAGGCAGGAAGATCCACAGGCCCGAGCTCAGTCTTAGCAAGGGCAAGGGTCCCAGTTCAGCCCAGTACGCACAAATAAACACAGGCTAAGCAGCCAATTCCCCCAGCTCCACTGCTGAGGGCGAGGGCCAGAGCCCATGCAGGTTGCCGGGCACGCGGCCCCACAGGGCACGAAGGAAGCTGCCGCCTTCCCCGCCTCACTGCTCCTTGCTGCGGGGGACCCTTCCCCAGCCAGCCGGCGGACATGGGCCTCCCAGCCTCGCCGAGCCCACCTGCCCAGCCGTCGTCGGCATCCGTGTCCAGGTCGTCGAGGCCCTTCAGGTTCTCAGCGTTGATGATCGTGGGCCGCGGGGCCCGCTCCACCAGCTGCCGCAGGGGCCGAACCGGGCGTGGGAGCCCCGGCCGGCTTTCCTTGCTGCTGCAAGAGGAGGAAAGGTGACAGTGACAGTGACAGTGACACCAGCCAGCCCCCAGCCCCCCACCGCCAGCTGCTGCCTGTGGCCTTACCCGTCCTGCTCATTCATCTGGAACTGTCTGAAAGGAACTCTGGGCTCCGGGCGGAGCTGAGGGAGGGGAAAAGGGCCTCGTTCCACTGGGCCCTGGTTTTCAGATGACTGCGGCGAACACATCTGCAACAGAACAGCCGTGATTGGCCAGCAGCGCCCCACATTCCAAGTTCCACTCTGGTCAGAGTTTTTAGTTGTTGTTTTGATACAAGGTTTCATTACATAGCTCATGCCGGTCTTGAACTCACTATGGAGCCCAGGTGGGCCCTAAACTTGTCCCGGTCCTCCTGCCTCAGCCTCAGCCTCAGCCTCTGAGGGCTGGGGTTGTAGCTGCTGCATTCAGTTTGGTTTGAAAATGCAAGAACAAAGAGAACAGCATGCAGGGAGGCGGGGTCCCCAATCATACCGCTCTCCATCCCCCCACCTTCACCGTGGGGCTGCTAAGGTGGTGTGAAGACCGTCTCAGGACCCACTAAGGCTGGCGTGGCAGATGCGGCACAGCACGGGGCTGCACTGAGCAGTGGGTGAGGGAAACTCCAGTCTGCTACACAGGCATGGGGAGCACACCCCGGGCATGGGGCACCTTCCTGGGCCACGCCAGACCCCGGGACTTACAAAGGCAGGCAGCATGTCATGGTAGGTGGGTGGGTGGTACACATTTCCCACGAACTGTGAAGCCCCTTTGCGGACAGGCTGGGCTGGGCGGAGCGAGGGGTCCTTGGCATCGCTGGCACTGGTCGACGAGGGCGCTCCATCTCCCACGCCTGCGCTCCGGCTGCCCAGCTCTGGCGGGGATGCGCTCAGAGCCGCAGCAGCGATGATGTTCCGCCCGCCGCCCTCCCTCCAGCTCGTCACATCTGGAAGGGAAAAGGGTGCAGAGGAGAGGAGAGGACAAAGGCGGCTGGGGGAGTTCCCAAGATCACCCCTTCGACACCAAAAAAAATGTCTCAGGTTTTTCTTAAATCAATACCAAAAGGGGGCAGGTGAGATGGCTTAGTGGTCTAAAGCACCTACTTAGAACAAGCTTAGCAAAGCCCAGGGACCGCGGTTCAATCCCCCAGCACCACATGCCAGCCAGCCCCGCCCCCTGGTGGGCTGAGCTGGACACACACACACACAAATAAATAAAATTTAAAAAAATAAAATAAAAAATAAATCAATACCAAAAAGTTAAAAACCAAGAAATCTAGATTGACAAAATCTGTCAAGGAAGAGTGGGAGCAGGAGCTGAACTTTGTTGGGGCAATAAGGTCCCCTTAGAGAGAAGGCGCAGACAGCAGGATCTGCGCGCAGGCTCCAGAACCCAGGGCGCAGCATGAGGGGCTCTTCCAGCCACCTAGGCTGGCCCACCGCAGGGACGAGGACTAGCAGAAGCTGCAGCCACGCCTCACAGATGGCGCTAGTGGTCGACGGGCCCAAGGGAGGGATGCTGATGCAAGACCTAGGGGAGCCCCTTATCCAAGGGGGCCTCAAGGCCCTGGAGGACACCTGAAGCCCAGAAGATAGACCAAACCTTTGGTACATTTTACTTTGTCTCTGTCTGTAACATAAATCAATATGAGTACAGTAAGGAAAGTAAATGCAATAAAAATGCATGAACTCTCTCTAAATCACTCTCTAAATATCTTTTAGAGATATTTGTGTATGGTACTAAGGATTAAACTCAGAACTCTTGCACTGAGCTACATGCCCAGCCCTTTTCTGAGACAAGGCCTCACTAAATTGCGCGAGCTGGGTTCCAACTTGCAATCCTCCTGCCTCAGCTTCCCAGAGCACTGGGACCAGAGGTGTGTACCACCAGACTGGCTCAAAACACTGTACTGTTCAGTAATATTTTCAGAAAGAGAAACTGCAGATAAAGGGGGACTCTGCATGGGCAGCAGAAACCTCAGGAATCTTAAGAGTCTTGTGTTGACTAGGAGCTGGGGCACGAAGGAAGCCCCACATTTGTGACCCCTGAGGGACGCGAGCCAGGGTCCAGGCTGGTCCCCCTTTGCCGTGGGGGTCTAGGGCAGCTGAGGTCACCCTGGGCCACCTGCTTCCTTGCCTTTCCAAATGAGAAGGGACTGGTCTTACAAGCCGCTTCTAGTTCCATTTTTATAGCCCTAAGAGCAAATCATCTTAATTAACCCCAGAAAGGCGCAACTCCTGCTCTAAATAACTTGATTACATACTTGCAGGAGAGGAAAAAAAAAAAAAAAAAAAATCAAGTCCACGCGGGCCACTGGCACGGTGTTCTGACGGTGAGCAGTGTGGACTTCACTATGGGAAAGGGCTTGAGGATTCCTCAGGGTGAGAGACGGCCAAGACCAGCCCCAGTGCACACGCCCGCCCCACCAAACAAAAGGAGCAACCGAAGCTGCTGCTGGCTGAGACCCGGCCCAGGAGGGGCCGCCTCCCCGGTCAGACCCGACCAACACTTTGCTCCTAAAGGTGCCAACTTGGCACCGTGCACTCCCACGAGCCCAGCCTGCAGGAGGAGCGGCAGCCCTCGGGACAGGGACAGAGAGCCACAGGGACCATAACTGGGCTGGGGCAAAGGAGAACAAGAAACCAGGTGGCCCGGGCAGGACTCCAGCCGGCCCTTATCACCCAGTGACAGACAGGAAGGAGACAAGAGTGGCAGGGTGAGGGCTACTGGGAGGAAGCCCAGCAGACTCCAGACCAGGTTCGCGGCCTGGCTCTCCCCAGCAGGGAAGAGATGCGATGACGACCACGGTGGGGACACAGCTGCCCAGGAAGAACCAGGGTGGGACGCGGCCAAGGTGGCCAGACTTACTCTGCGGGCGGAGGCTTGGTCCTGGCCCATACGACAGATCTAAGACGCCCTTTTCTTTGCCAGCCTTGTCCTGCCCCCCAGCTGCTTTCAGCGTCGGAAATTCCTCGGGAGAGAAGGATAACAGTCGGCTTGAGCCCCTTAAACCTGCGGGGAGACCGGACACGGGAGGAGCGGTGAATGCATCGCCCTCTGCCCTGGCTGTTGGCCAGCCGCCCCAAACCGCCAGCGCTGCCCCTGTGCCCGGGGCGGCCCTGGTCGGGCCGATGTTACGGCTGCTCCAGCACATCTTTCTCCACACCTGCAATTCGGGCAAAGTCAGCTCCAGGACAGCAACTGCTACCCCGTACAGTCATGTGACACAGTGCCCTGTACCTCCTCAGGGCCACCACTCATGAGTCTACTGCAAGGACCGCTTCCCACATGCAGCCTCGGGTCCTGCCTGCTCATGTGACATGAGGAAGCATTCCTTTCTTTGATCTGTCACTCCCACTTGCCACCACTACCAGAGACTTCCAGATGACTGGGTGACAAGGGCCACACTGTAAGTTCTCAAGCATGCACTAAGCCACTGGGCAGCCCTCAGGACCACTGGCATCACCACAGAACACAGGGCAGCTGCCACACCGCAGCAAGGGGTAGGGAGGATGAGCCTACTGGGTGAGGGCTGGATGCTCTGTCCTCCAGCAGTTACCTGAGAGGGGACATGCAAGTGCCACAAAGACGACTCGGGGCAGAGCGGCCCCATCACATTAAGAGCCAATGGCGAGAATGAAATGTTTAAAGTCCTGCTCTGAAAATGGCTGGGTTACTGAACATGTCCATGAGGCCTTTCTGTCCCTCTTCTGCCTCAAGCACCATGAAGATAGTATCGCAAGCATGGACCGAATGCTCCCTCCGCCAACAACAAGGGCAAATGCTGGCTTAAACCCCAGCACCACAAGGCCGGCCGCCACATCGGGTCACACTCAGAGCTCCAGCCTCTGCCCGAGCCACCCGGCTCCACGCTGTCCAGGCCACCTGACGTGGCTGATGCACACCCACAGGCCATCTTGTGCCTGAGTGGTGATGACCTGCCACTTCAGCAAGGCCCCCAAGTCCCTCGCCTTGTGGGCATCACTGACGAGTGACCGGAAGGCTGATTCTCGGGAGACTCCTGTGGCCACACGGCATGGCCGTCCCCCACGCTGATGGAGGACTTTCCTGTGTCCTGCACTTATTTTCCAGGGGAAGGCTTTTGCTTTTTTGAGACAGGATCTCACTTTGTAGCTCAGGCTGGCCTCGAGCTCACAGCAATCCTCCTGCCTCAACCTTCTGAGTGCTGGGTCACAGGCGTGTGCCACTGCGCCCAGCTGAGGTGAAGTTTATCTGTGACAGCTAATGCAGTTACACATCCCAGGTGGAGAGAAGTGGGAAAACCGCGCAATCCGCCCCTGGCAGCTGTGTCCCCTCATCCCACATTTCTCATGATGGCAGCAAACAGCTACCTCCACAAGGGCCTTCCATCTACCCAGGCCCTGCTGTGGAGACCTGGCTGTGGCCACAGCCAGAGAAAGCGCCTGCTGCTTTCCTTCACAGAGAAGCTGTACTGTATGCCCTTCAAGTGCCACATCCGACAGCAGGTCCCCGTGACTGTGTCTAGTGCTCTGTTGTCACAGAGTGGGACGGGATGACCTCGTACACGGGTCAGGTCACAAGTGGCCAGGTGAACACATGGCAGAACTCACTGCCAGTCAGGGGTATGCTGGGGTTCTGACAGGCAGTGTCAGGGCCCTGCACAGGGCTGCGGCAGCTGACAATCCTTGCGGCTCTCTTTAAATAAAACTTGCTATCTCGTTGGCTTTAAAAGATTTTAAACCAGGCGTGGTGGCACGTACCTGCAAGGCTGAAGCAGGAGGCCAGCCTGGACTATGCAGTGAATTCCAGGCCAGCCTAAGACCCCACTAATCAGTTAAAGTTCAAACAGCCACAGAAAGCAACGAGCCAACGGATGATCTCGCCCTGCTCGCTAAGAGGCCTCTCTGCAGACCTGAGCGGGCGTCGCCCTCCCGGCCTACGCCACCCCGCGGGAAGCCCTGCCTTGCCGCGTGGAGCCCTGAGCCTTGGGCCTGGGCTCCTGGCAGCCTCCGGAGCAGGAAGGAAGCAGTCTGTCACTTTCCTCAGAAGACAGCAAAGCCTTTGTCACAGAGGCCTCCACCTTGGAGGGGCGCAGGGTTGGTGTGACCCAGAACACAGCCCAGGGCATGGAGCTGGCTTCCCACGCAAGCTACGAAGGCAGGCCACACAGCTCAAGGCGGGAGAAGTGTCTCTCAGCCTACTATGAGCAGCCCGCTGGGTCTGGACGGAGTGAGACAATGTTCCAGCTCACACCGAAGGAGAAGTCGACCCAGGAAGGAAGGGCTCTTTGGCGCCAGCCAACACCGTGCAAGTGCAGGGGCACGGGCTCAGGGCAGAGAGACAGGCAGCCGGGATGCTCGGCCTCCCTGCTCTGCGTGCCGCGAGCAGCTAGAATCTGTACTTCACGCTCGAATTCGCTCAAGACAGGGCCTCACTATGCAGCCACCGATCCTCCTGCCTCAGCCTCCCAAGTGCTGGGATTCCAGTGTGTGCCGTCATGCCTGGCTTCATTTTTCCCAACTCTGAGCACCCTGTCCTTGATCACCCCCAAAGCAGCGGCTCAGTCCCACAGACTGGCTTGCCACAGTTCTAGCCCGAAGCTAAAGCCCAGACCCCAACACCTCTTTCTGTGGTCCCAGTGGAGAACGCCGCTGGGAGCCGGCAACAGGACAGAGACAGCATTCAAGACCTGGGGAACCTGCGCCAGGGTCTCCCGTGCACCCCGGGGCCCGCGCATTGGCTGTGGCAGTCTCAAGAGCCAGAGAGCTCACAGCCCCGGTTCCACCAGCTCCTCCACCACCAGCACAGGCGGGCTCCACTGGACTTCGAGGTGCCCAGACCCTCCGGAAGGACTTGGGGGTCGCATACCCGCCCCACCCACCCCCACTTACCACCTTCGTGTCCTGCTGGCTTTCCATTCAGCTGTGCCCATGACTTTGGTCCACCTGGCACTGAATTTGTGTTCTGGAAGAAAGACGAGGAGAGCTCTGGGTGAGAGCAAGACCCTGCCTCAAAAACAAGCAGCTGGGAGGCCAGCACATGCAGCCAGGCGGGCCACACACCTGTGAAGCTCGGGTACCACTGACACCAGGGTCTGCACAGCCCCGCCGTGCCCAAGACCCCTTAGGGTTCCCAAATGGAACTCTAATACCTTTGCCAACAATGCTGCCTTCAGGACCCACCCTTCCAGCGGGGTCGGGAGAGTAAACACTCGCCCTGTGACATCTCTCCCTATTCACCCAGTGACCCATGCTCCCTGACCCACAAGGGAAACTAAGCCCCACTCCCCAGAGGGCAGCAGCATTTCCTGGAGCATTTTAAAGTCACAATCAAGGGGGCTTCCAGGTTAGCTCAGTGGTTTGAAGCGTCTGCTTGGGTAAACCCAGTCAGGCGCAGGGGACTGCGGTTCAGTCCCCAGCTCCACGTGCTGCACCGGGTCCGTCCTTACAGCAGCCTGAGCTAGCCAAAAAATAAAAATAAATAAAGTCACAATCATGAGTGTCTCCTCTTCCTGTTACCCGAGACTGAACAGACCCAGTGGTCACCAGGGAGAGCTGCGCCCTGACGGGAACTCTGTTCATCAGGGCCTGCGGGCCCAGGCACCCATGTCTCACGAACTGTGCAGCCAGAGCGGAAGGACCACAGCTCCGAGGTGCCTTAGTTTGAATTCTAGCAAAGACACCCAACCCTGTGGGCGAGGCCAGCGGGCCAGGGCAGGTGAGGCCACAAGCAGACTTCCGCTTCCTGGCTTTAGTCCTCAAGGCTTTTGGGAAAGGCCCCCGCCTCCACAGGCAGCAAGCAGGGATGACGTTTCATCTCCATCCTGCCCAGCAAAGCCAGGAGGGTGGCACAGGCCTGTAATCCCAGCACTCGGGAGGCTGAGGCAGGAGGATCGCCAGGCGCTCAATGCCACCCCAGGCTCCACAGTGAGTTCAAGCCCAGCCTGAAGTGCATAGCAAGGTCCTGGCTCCAGAAACCAAAAGCACATAGCACCAAAAGCTCTGCTGCCCGGCAAACAACACTCAACTGTCCACTCAAGTCCTCCTGCCATTTCCACCACCCTACAGTCAGGGTCTGATGGCAGGGGTTACAAGGGCATTACGTGGTTAAAACATTGCTTTCCATTTAAGAGAATATTTTAAATGTGTCAACAAATCAAGGACTACAGCTAGGTGTTTCCCCCCATGTGTTCAGGAGCCTTTCTTTCTTTTCTTTTTTGTATTTTAGGGAAGGGTCTACAGGGTATTCAGGGTCTCACTACTAGATCGGACTCAATGACCTGCCTGTTTACAGCCTCCCAAGAGCTGGGATTACAGGCGCACGCCACCACGCCCAGTCTCAATCGCCATCTCAGTACATCCCAGGGGCGGGGCCGGCACAGCTGGCCCGAGGATGGAGATCAAATCCCGGCCCTTGCTTGCTTGCAGGCGCTTTAATCCGCTGAGCTATTTGGCCAGCCCAAGAGCCTTTACTTCTGAGAGACTTTGGGTTAAGAAAGTTTTCCCAAAGCAAATCAGCCCAAGAACTTTGGTCGTGCTGTCCTGGGGAGTCACTGTCCCTGTCTCCACACCTAAGGCGCTGTCGGGCACTGCAGCTAGGGGCTGGCTTTGTTCTGTTTTCCAAATTCAGCTAGGACCGAAAGGCACTTTTTGTTTTCTTGGTACAGTACTGAGAACTGAGCAGGGGCCTTCACACGGAGCTACACCCCAGCCCTTCTGTGTCTCCGCCTGTCTGTCTGTCTGTCTGTCTGTCTGATGGTCTATGTATGAGACAGGTATTATCAACTTGTGAAATTGCCCTGTCAGGGCTCCAACTTGCCATCCTTCCCCCTCAACCTCCCAAGACACTGGGATTATAGGCATGGGCTACCACACCAGGCACTTTTGGGGACACTAGTCTCATTTAGGGAAACTGAGGGCGTCTGTAGTCAACCTAAATAGCTCCATGTGAAGGAAAATCAGAAAACCAAAGCAGGCGCCATGTCCTGCTCTGTATGCAGAGCCTTTCTCCAAATATACACATCACCCAGGTGCGGTGGCACTCGCCTGGAATCCCAGCACTCGGGAGGCTGAGGCAGGAGGGCTGCCCTAAGTCTGAAGCCAGCCTGGACTACACAGAGACCATGTCTCAAAAACCAAAACACAGAGCTGCAGATCAACTATCTTCACAGGCACCGAAAATCCTCCTGTAGGCACTGTCCTCCCCTCCCTACACACACTCCCAGCCTCAGCACTCAGCACCTACCTCCTGGCTGACTGGCTGCGTCGGCTTCTGCAAATTGGAGACAGATTTCTGCAAACCCGGCTGCGGCAGCGACTCCGGCGGCTGACAGCCCGCTGCACTGGAACTAGGACAGGGAGGACACCAAGGGGGCATTAGACCCACGCAGGGCACAGGCCAGGCCGCACTTCCAAGAGCACAGCAGGCAGCTGCTCCCTGTACACCACGACAATCACTTTCCCTGGTGGAAGGGAAGCTGACGAGCATTCGCCAACGAGGAAATCGAGCCACGGGGCCCCTTCCACCGGCCCCGGCCCACCTCCCGGCCGCAGCTGCTCCGTGGCTTAGCAGCTTTCCCCTCTACTCGGCCTCAGGACTTTCCTACTTGTGTACTAGCAGCGCACTTTTCTACACGGTAGCCTGGCCCCGGCATGCAGTTCCAGAGCTGGTTTTCTCCTTATGCACGTAAACGTTTTTCTCAGAGAGGCACATATGGATGCACGTGTCTTTTCATGGAAGACAGGACGGCTGGACGGGCTATGATTTAACCAAGGTTTTCCTCAGTACAGATGAAGCTGCAGTTTGTGTATTAGAAATCCTTTTGCTTTGTTTCTTTTTAGTTGTTGTAAACTACAGTCCAGCTATCCATGTAGTTCAGGCTGGCTTGGAGCTCCTGGTGATCCTCCTGCCTCAGCCTCCTGGGTGCTGGGACTATAGGTGCGCACCATCACTCCCAGTTCCTTGTTTTTTGTTTTTTAAATAAGTAATTAAAAAAATAATAATTCAGTGGCACATGATCTTAGAAATGATGTTATTGGATCAACAGATGTTTCGTAGTTTAAAAGATACTAACGAACAGCCTCCAAAACAGCCTCCAAAAGGATTGGCAAATGCCGGTCCCCTCATTCATCTTCTGAAAGAGCGGCAGGAGCTGCGAGCAGTCCCTCTGCTCTGCTCTGCTCAGCTCTGCACTGCACAGCGCCACACAAGGGCAGCAATCTCCTTGGCCAGGCGCCACCCCGCCCCTGCCAATCCTCGGGCCAGAGCCACGCTCTCCCTGGACCCCTCCAAGTGCCTGCAACCTGGCTCCGGTGCCCTCCTGCTCTTGTCAAAGGGGGCCACAGCCCCGCCCCACCTCTACTGCAAACTGGCCTCCGGGATGGAGCACCCCGCGTCCACGCACTGGGCACCCTCCCTAGAGGCCTGCCTCTCCTCCTTCCCTCTTATCTGCTCCCTCACTTCGGCACAACTGGATCTTAACAGGGCACCTGGCACCATGTGCCAGTGCTGGCTATTACTGGATAAAAGGAAAGGGGGCTGCTGGTGGGTGGCGCGCACGCCTGTCATCCCAGCACTCTGGGAGGCTGAGGCAGGAGGATGGCAAGTTTGAGCCCAGCCTAGGCAACTCGTGACCTAGTGAGACCCTGTCTCAACATAAGAAATAAAAAGGGCCAGGGACACAGTTTAGGGTGAAGGCCCTGGGTTTCGTCACGAGTGCCACAAAAGGGAGGGGTGCAAAAAGGACACCTTTAGGACCCCATTTCTTTATTCCTGCTGCAGGACTGCACTGCGGCCTCTCAAGCCCGCCTGCGCTCCTCCGCGGTCACGAGGCCACGCCTAAAGAGACTCATGGGACACTGGCCACCAGGGACAAGGCTGCCACAAAGGCTGTCACCTCAGCGCCAAAAGCCAGGAGGGGCAGCCTCCCTGGCTCCATGGACACAGCCAGCGTGGCCACCCCGCCTAGAGGCAGCTCACCTCTTTGGGTCTTGCTGGTCCGTCTTGTTTGCCCATCCCGTCCCGTCCTTGGGTACTATCACGATGTTGGGGTCGTTTCCTTTGTTCTCAGACTTCAGGCTTGGCAGGTTTGCAGGCGGTGGCATGCGCCGGGCTGTGGCAACCTTCCCGAGACTCTGTAAGCCATGTCTAGGAATAACTGTGGGGGAAAAGGCTCCTCAGGCAAGGCCGGGGGAGAGGCCACCACCAGGCAAGCTCTTCCCTCAGGAGAGGGACACAGCTGCTGCTGACATCTGCAATAGCCTCCGTTGCCCTGGCAGCAGGAGGCAGCTCCAACAGCCTGGGACCCGGATGCAGAGCCACCAGGGACCCGAGCCTCACAGGCGTGGACAGGATCAACGGGATCTTTGCCTACACTCTAGAATGTTAAGATGTGGGACACCTAAAGGGTGACACTAAGGCAAACCACAAGAGTGTAAGGAGAAGACGGCGCAGGCCTCCTGCCCTCCCGAGCTCCCCTGGCCCTGTGCACCCACAGCCTGATCGGCAGGACGGCACTGTGTGGCCAGGTCTGGGGCCTCTGTTGCACAAGGGAGCAGCCCAACCCCGGCCCTCCCGGCCTCACCTGAGGATCTGGATGTGTCTACTGATCTTCCTTTATACTTGTCAAACAGGCTGAGAGTCGAATACTTGCTTTTCCCATCCTTGCCCTTCGTTATTTGCCCCAAACGATCGGACATTGCGATGAAATGTCATCGAGTAAAGAAATTTTTCTCGGCACCGCTCCCGATCTGCCTTTGGGATGGAAAGGAGACTGTTAACTCACCAGAACCCAGAATCCCAGGACCCAACCTGTCTCCCCACGAGCGCGCTCTGGTGGTCTCCAGCAAAAGCCCCACGCGCCTGATGCCGGCTCCCACTAGGGGGCACTCTGCACAGCCGTGATCCGGGCCACCCCGCCAGGCCTAGGGCTGCAGCGCTGCAGGGGCTGAGGATCTGGAGCTCGCAGGCGCAGACACCAAGGCAGAGCCCGCAGGTACACAACAACCAGCTGTGCCACCAAGGACGGCAAACCCGGGTTGGAGCAACGCCAGCTAGGTCAGGAAGCCATCCAGGGACTCAAGACAGTTCTCCAGTAAACAGCGTGGGCACCCAGGCCTGCCGTCTAGCACGCAGGGGTGCAAGCAGATGAATTGCCACAGGTGACACGCAGTTTCAAATAACTGTTTCGTTTGTTTGCTTTAATGTATTTG